TAGGCTAGATCTTGTCTGTATTTACTCTGAAACATTTCTGAAAGAGGCTTTGAGTAATTTCAGTTCCCATGAGCTTGTGGTCAATGAATATGGGCCGTGGACTTCATAATCTCATAAAGTGTTGGAGAACATTGATCTTTCTTTGCCTTCAGACCACTTTCAGAGCGAGCACGGTAGCATTGTGTGTAAATGAATTTGCATTTGTGTGGGCCGCTCTTTACTTTAGTGAGCCTCTTTTATGAGGGTGTCTTTGTCTGAGAGTCCTGACCTACAAACAAAATTATTTTTGAATATTTCAGTTTAGAGATGCTGATTTTTTGGTAAGTCTAATTTGCTGGTTTTTGCCGACATTTTGTCTTGTTGACGTTGTCAATTGACAGCACATTCAAACAAAAATAAACTTTATTGCATGTTATTGTTTTTATAATTGAAAAAAAAAATTACTGAATTATTTAAAATGAATGTAAATTAGGTAAAGCACTTGCTGACAACCTAAACATGACTAACGTTTTCTTGTGAACGCAGACGTTTTGACGATTTTTTTTTCTGACACAGCAAACATTTTTAAAAATAGCTTAAAAACAAAATCACCCAAGTTTTATTTTAAACCAGATAGTCAGATTAGTCAGTTAAAATTGTTGCTGTTTTTAACTTTGGATGCATGTAGACCTCCAAAACAAAATTAGGAACATTTAAAATACATAATTCAGACCGTTAACTGTTAGTTATGTATTTATTATTTATTAACCAGATCTGATTGTAAAGTTTTAGAGTGTGGTCACATTTGTTGGTGAATTTCCCCTAGAATATTTCTCTTAATTTCGAGTATGTCCAGTTGCACATGACAATCAAAAAAGCTTCATGGTACTTTTGTGTGAACACTGTGGTTCACTGTGAATCTAATACTTAAATAGGCTAGTTTCATAATTCTCATGTATGCTGACGTGAAATCATTGTTTACATTGTTTTATGAACACACAACTTTTAAAAATCGTAATGTTGTCAAAAGATCTCCATTCAAAATGTTCTCCATCTCACTCACGGCAAGATTTGGCAAGGGAGTGTTTAATAAGTAAAACTGACCTCAGACAGTTTAGGTTAGTCTGCATCAAACCTGCAGGAAAATATCAGGCTTTGCTAAAACCTGGTTATTTTACCAACAATTACTGTCAATAGTGGTAGCCTATTACAGATTTCAAAGAACAATCTTAATATTAAAAAAGGAAACATAAGCTAGACCACAACAGATTATCAATGTCATGAGGAATGCTCAAATAATGTAGCCTAGGTTACTGCAAGAATCATGTGTTTAGTTCAATTGTGTCATCTGTCATATACAGTAAGGGTGCTTTCACATCTGTAGTTCGCTTTATTTGGTCCGGACCAAGGGTAAAAAATGATACATTGTTGCATCTTCTGCTGTCTTTGGGTCGTTTTCACACCACACTCTTGGCTTTGGTCCGAACCAGTTGAAACGAACCAAAATGCAGTCATCTGACAAAATCCACATCTCTCATTGGCCAGATGTTGTTGAACATATTTCCTAAACTGCTTATTGATTGGTCAGAATTCACAAGCGGCAAAATGCCTACTGAAACTCCCGCAGGTAAACAAAACTTTTTACTATAAAGGGACGACTGCGCTGGCTGATTGTATCCCTGCTTTAGACAAACTATACATTACGAAAATGAAGCGCGGCCGCGGCTGGAAAACAGTGTTTAATGCATCGCTCGTCACTTCAGGAGGAGACGTGAATTAATTTAGCTAAACTGCGACATGGTCATCTTGCGGAAATATTACCAACGATCCATCAGGTAATGTTTTCCCCTCTCTCTCTTTTTCCTCCATATCCCATAATGCACAGCGCATCGGCCTACGGCAGCTGAATTAGTCCAAAACACGCAGTACTTTTTGCGGTTGGATCTTTTTTAGTACGGATCATATTCTCACCACAAACTAACCGATTCAGGGTCTCACCAAAAGCGGACCAAATAAGCGTACCGAGACCTGCTTGAAGAGGTGGTCTCGGTACGCTTATTTGGTCCGCTTTTGGTGCGCATTCGAGTACGATTCTCACCCTCTCAAGATTTGCATTCTCACCTGCCCAAACCGTACCAAAAGGGGAAACAAACTCTAGTGCGATTCAATCGAACTAAATAAGGCAGGTGTGAAAGCACCCTAAGCCTATAAGTCTGTTGTTTTACTAAAGAAGATTTATTATTTGAGCACCAGAACTATAGTAACAGTATTAGAAAAAAAAAAAAACGCATGTGTCGTGCAGTGTTCACAGCTTTTGAGTCCAGATGCCAACAATACGCTAGTTGTTTGGTGTCGACTTGGTGTGTCTCCACCCTAACGAAACACTATGCATCTGCACACATGTAGTCTTGTATGTCAACATTGTTCTTTCATTCTTATAATGGGTTTTTCAAAATGCGCTTCCATGCAGTGTGTAACAGCACTAAGTGAATAAAAACATCCAGTTGAGGTTTAAATCTGAAAGTGCACAGTGTTTAAAACTATTGATTATTTAACGAAATAGTCAACTAAGAGTCAAATAAATGAATCGTGTTGGGTTCGGATCTTTTGCTTGAACGCATTGACATCGATACAATACATCACCAAATATGTATTTCCGCATCCGGTAAAAAATGAACGCGCCTTTCCCTTTAGACACTAGCGGAGAGCAGGGCTTCACAGGACTGATCATGTCACGAGTAGATGACGATCACTGGTGGAGATTTGGCTGCAGGGAATAAAGGGTTAAAGTTCATTTTCTCAACGATAAGATGTATTATAGATCAGTACTAGTACTGTATCTCTCAAGTTAAATCTCTATGGGGCTATTTACATATTGCATCCAAAACCATGTTAAGAAGACATGTGCTTCTTCCTTAAGCAATTTAATTGAGTTACTGAACTCGCGACCCTCTGTCATTTGTCTTTGCTATGGCCACCATCAGCTGTTCCTACACATGGTTAATTTTCAAAATAGTTCAAATTTTGCCACTGTGTGGATTAACACAGAAAGTGTGTCATTGTTATTACTTGGGGTTTACATTAAGAGTAGAGTAATAACAGCATTGCTTTATTGCATTCCTGCATTGGGCTCTCACACACTCACTTGTACTACCCAGTCGACCAATTACAACAGACTGGGTCATCGGACCAATCACAGCAGATTTGTCTCACACAAAGGAGAGGTTTGGGAACAAATGAATCGCTGAACGAATCATATGGGAGTCATTGGTATAACTAGGTAAAAATAAATGCATATTATAAGACAATGAAATTGTTTCCTTTTACGCGTATCAGCCTTCTGTTGGAGACCCCTAAAACCAAAATATGACCTTTTATAACCTTTAATTCTTTCCTAAATGTAGTCATTGACCATTAATTATAACCACAGGGTTCATACAGTCATGTAAAACCTGGAAAAGTCCTGGAATTTTGACATGGCATTTTTCAGGCCTGGAAAAGTTTTAGAAAATCAAAACCCACCAAGTTTTGAAAAAGTCATGGGAAACAGATATCTGTATACATGAATATAGGTTAGTTGTCTTCACTGCTTTTCTGTCCTTGGTCAGTCACATACTCTTACATTATTTGTGCAATGTAAGTATTATCGAAATCAATTTTACATAATAAATATTATTTATTTCTGTAATAAATGTTAACAAGTATTGTTTTTTCCATGCATATGTAGACATTGCATGAAACATTAAGTCATGAAAATTTTCTTAAAAGTCTTGGAAAAGTCATGGAGTTTTAGTAGTAAAAAAGTGTATAAACTCTGCAACCATCATTCATCTACTTGACAGCCATCACAAAAGTAACAATTATTTATTGTTTATAATATTATTCAATGACAATTACTAAGTGACGCAGTGGCGCAGTAGGTAATGCTGTCGCCTCACAGCAAGATGGTCACTGGGTCGAGCCTCGGCTCGGTTGGCGTTTCTGTGTGAAGTTTGCATATTCTTCCTGCGTTCGCATGGGTTTCCTCCGGGTGCTCCGGTTTCCCCCACAGTCCAAAGACATGCGGTACAGGTGAATTGGGTAGGCTGAGTGTGTGAGTGAATGAATGAGTGTGAATGAGTGTGTGTAGATGTTTCCCAGGGATAGGTTGCGGCTGGAAGGCTATACGCTGCATAAAAACGTGCTGGAGAAGTTGGTGGTTCATTCCGCTGTGGCGACACCGGATTAATAAAGGGACTAAGCCGACAAGAAACTGAATAAATAAATGATACTATACTGCCCTACAGGCCCTGATAGACCCACCCTAAAGGCATTCCATGAAGTAAATAAAAGTGGTTTCGAGGGGTTATGTTTTTTTAATGAAGATTACGAGCAAATACATTTTTACTAAATAATTGTGTTAAAAGTGCACAGATACATCATTTATAACAAACGCTACTATATACATGTGTCCTTCTTATTTGTACATTTTGAATTCACGCCGACTTTAAGATGAAAAAATCTTCTGAAACTTTGAGTTTTGCAGTTGGATCAGACAGAAAGCTTTGATATGAACTATCCTGATGCTTTTAAGGTCTTAATGTCATTTAGCTTAAAGCAGAAGAAGAAATCTCAGCCGAAATGTGACCAGGACTAGTCTGTGTCAGGACCCGTCTTTCTGATATTTCACATTCTTTCTTTGTTTATTTTAATGGATTCTCTCTTTTTCTCGCGGCTGCTGTAGGTTCTGTACCAATCACTTTATCTAAGACCAGCCCCAGCCTGCATCTTTTATTGATGCCACGTCTGTCTTTGAATAATTTACCTCACCGCATCTGTAGATGTGTGCTGAAACTTTCATAGACCTTGTGCCATTCTACAACTTTGGAAAACGACGTACACTCACCATGAGTGTATTCTGTCCATGTTTATTTTCAGATACTTCTCCAAGCACGCACACAAACACACTGCTCAAATCAAGTCAGCGGCTGTCATTTTATATTCCGAACTTCAGCCCTAATGACTTTCCTTTCCTTCCACAGAATCTTCCAGAAGGAACGTCCAATGTCGGCTCAATCAAACTAACATACATATCCAAGGTTTGTCATTGCTTTGTTATTTCAACTGTTGCCAACTTGATGTTCACAGACATGAATGATACTTCAAATCGAGCTTCTTGTTTAGAAAATGTATGCTTTTTTACATGTTCCAGATGCACTGTTTTCTCCAGAGAAAAAGAGAAAGGGGAAAATGTAATCGCTAGTCTTGTGTTGTTACCTTAAATTTGACAGCCATGAGAGGTCCATCTATCTCTATGTATTATTAAACAGCCTTTTCTAGACTGCTCTATAACTAGAGTCTTCATCTAATGTGAATGCGCACTCAGTCGTGTCCTTCAGGAGCAAAATCTTTTTATGGTTGAAATGGATTCAGTATATATACATAAAGCATATAGGGCTTTGCAATTATGTATTGTCTATAAACATGTTTTTCTCTTGTTTTTCAAAAATAAACCAAACAAAAGCCTACCTTGAAAATTAATGCTTTCACTGATCTTTATAATCTGTTTTAAAGGGGACCTATTATGTCAATTTTTACAAGGTCTAATATAAATCTCTGATATCCCTAGAATATGTACAGGTATGTGAAGTTTCAGCTTAAAATACCACACAAATAATACTATACAAAATAGCATGCGTATCTATAATAAAGCTTATCGTTTGATGTTATGTCTCTGGGATTGTGTATATTAATACATGGTTACCTCGGTTCATTTCCAAATGAACTGTGCCCTCACTGAGGGCGTGATCACGTTAGCTGAAATGAGGCGATGCAGGAAAGTCCTTAATTTTTTACAGATTACATAAAAAGAGATTATTTGTTTTCGACTTGAATGCGTTACTGCAAAAGTTGACATCAAGTAGACTTCAATCTTTCTATCGATGCATCTCTCATTCTTCTTTGTTGAGTTTTTGCTGAATTTCAGTTCATTTTAATGACGTGTTTTTTCTGACACAGTCTACATGTTGTGCGCGTTTCTTGCAGACGATTGTCATAACAAAGCCTCATGGGCGAGGCAGCATTAACTCTAATGAGCTCAGACTGAGAAGTTAGACATGGCATTGGTTTCATACTGATTACTTTATCAAACAATATTTGTTTTCAACATGCACTCACTGCATTTAAAAGTAGATTCTTCAAGCTTTCTATAGATATGTGTCTCATGTCTGTGTGTTCTGTTTTCGCAAAGTTTCAGCACATTTTACTGACGTCTTCAAAAAAACAATTCGCGGACAGAGAAAAGACAGATTGCCTACACTGTTTATTATCCTTATTTTGCAAAAGCACACATATTTGTTGTCATTGTGAGTGCACACAATAAAAAATAGACACCTAACAGATTCGATTGATGCAATGATCTTATCTGTACGATTAAAACTGAAAGTTTAATTTAAGTTCATTTAAGCATTATGGTCTTTGACCCCTGGTGGTTAAATGACAAAGTTAAACAATACCACACAAGTGTGTCTTTAAATATCACTTGATTAAAAGTTTGATAAACAAGAAAATTGCTAATATTTCTTAAATTTCAAATCAAATATTGTCAATGTTGCTTTTCAAATAAAGGCAATACATGGCTTAAAGCACAGGTGTAAAACTCAGTTCCTGGAGGGCCGCAACTCTGCACAGTTTAGTTCCAATCCTAAATAAACACACCTGTTCAAACTAATAGAGTCCTTCAGACTCAATTAAACCTACAGGTAATCCCGCGGTCACACTAGAGTTTAAGCTTGGGAAATTTTGTCGTACGGTGCTGCCAAAAAGGCCGGGACTAAACAAGATAATTAGACATTAAATATCGCAAGTGATTGGTCCATATTCAAATTTATGTCCAGACATGTCATGTTTTGGTCTTCGATTGGTCTTGTGCAATCACGTGATGTGTTTTCACAGGTCAGAGTTCACCGAACTTGAACTTTGCAACGCAGTGAACTGCAAAACTTGTTGCACAAGCTGCTGCATTCACATTCATATGAATGGATAACTATGTGACCACAGCTCAAGTATGTTGGAGCATGGTTGGTTGGAACTTAACTGTGCAGGGCTGCGGCCCTGCAGGAACATTGACACCCCTGATTTAAGATAATTTACCCAAAAAAGAAAATGATATCATCATTTACTCATTGACAGGGAAATATTAAAAAATAAATTAATCTTAATTTGACCTGAACGTTTTTCTGCTTGCATGTTAAAGGTGCAGTAGGTGATCTGCCAAAATGCCATCCGTTAGCATAATATCTTTGAAACACAGTCCATCCCCTGTTCTCCAAAGCCACGTCTCCTAAAATCACGAACGCGAACAGAAATTAAACTTATTACTAACTGTGCGTTCACACCGAAAACAGTGAGAGCATTCAAGGTCGCTCTGGCCACCCTAGCGACAACGCTGTCTGCCTTCAGCTCAGGCGGCGAGAGCTTCAAAATTTGCTATATAAATCTCGTATTTAAAGGGGCCGTTGCAGCATATCAGTTACATTCCTGCACAAAACATGCTTTCTAGCGTGAAAATATTGAGTTCTTCTTATCAAATTCATTTAACAATGGAAGATCAAGTTGCATGTGCTGTGGCTTTGCTCTACTTAATTATCCAATGTGTCCATATGTCTGAAATATCCTGAAGCAGCAACTGTTTTGTATTGTCGCATGAGATTCCCGCTTTTTTAAAGATAAATATATATAACATTAACACAGATCATTAACTCGCCAGTAACTTATTTAATGCATGTTCCTGTAAGAAAACATAATAAATAATTGAAAACCCGGCAACGGCAATAATCAAAGCCTTGGGAACAACTGTGGTCGGAACCAAAGTTCACAGGTCGGTGTTCTCTGAACTCCTCTCAAGCGGTGGTTTTCTTCATTCTGATTGCTTGCCGCCGAACCGCGTCATAACTTAATACCATAAAGTTGACTTGATTTTAACTCTCCTTGACGCCCACACTGGTGAAGATGCGCCACCCTGCTCCTCGTTTCTTATCCCCGCCGCATCTCATAGAAAATTAATGACTTCCGGCTACTTTGACGCTCTCGCCACTTTCGGTGTGAATGTACAGTAAGTCATACTTGCATACTATTTCAGAGCAAATACTTAAAGTAGCATGGTAAACAATATAGGGAGCGCATCACAGGTTGTTCAAAAATGAACCAATGTAAATATAAAACCATCGTTACCTCAGAAAAGCAGGCTATAGAATAGTGCTATTTACTGATGTTTTGTTGTTAAACTAAATAAAAATCTACATTATCGATGCTGTAAAACGTTCCTTATGAAACTGAAAATAATCACATCTACATGTTGCTGGAAGATTTCAGTCGCTAAACAACACTTTCGAGCATAGAACCCATTTGTAAAACAAGACAATCTACATTTTAAAACATAACATTACCTGTCTATAAGAAATACTACCCGTGTCGTCCTTCCTCCAGCGTTTCTCCAATATTGCCTCAGGATTTTAAAAAGTTTTGATTCAGCATTTGTTTTTACAGCTGTCACTCTCTCTTGTGTCCATGTGAACACTTATGATAATTATGCGAATTATCGGCCGGACATATTTTAATTGGACTAGCATGTTTTTAGTCTTATGCCTTTACCAGAATATAAAAATACATATAAAAACATTTAGATAATTTACTTTAATAATTACTATTGGAATGTGAAGAGACTTTCAACCAGCACAACAAGCAATGTTTCTGAAGACAATCACCTACTGCACCTTTAGGGGTAATATACAATCTGTGCCTCATTGGAGAATAAAAAATCTGAAATGGGAATTTGTACAGTTTAATGTTATTCTGGGCTAAAAAAAGTGACAAGTAACCATTTACTGGCAGTTTTAATTAATTTATTTTTTGTCATATTGTAATCTTAAGGCATTTATTAAAATTATACACAGCATGTGTACTGTAAATACAGTGTAAATGCATTTAGGCTACATCTGAGCTGCAAAAAATTATCTAAACCCCTAGTTAAATGTACTTCTTTTGGTTCCATCCCAAAGAGGGAAGAAATCACTTTCGCGAACGCTCATGCTCAATCTGCCCAGTTGGTGGAATGAACTCCCTAACTGCATCAGAACGGCAGAGTCACTCGCTGTCTTCAAGAAACGACTAAAAACTCAACTATTTAGTGTCCACTTCACTTCCTAATCTGCAATTGCCTCTCTGGATATCACACTAACTGTACCCAAAAAAAAAAATACTAATACTTTCCTTCTTAGACTTTACAGACCTGAAACTTGCCTATAGCACTTATTCATTGTTGCTCTTATAGTTGTGTAAATTGCTTCCTTGTCCTCATTTGTAAGTCGCTTTGGATAAAAGCGTCTGCTAAATGACTAAATGTAAATGTACTGTATATGCTGCCACTTCTGCAGTGCAAAGTAGGATTTTTAATTAACATTTTATATGACTGTTAATCAAATATAATTCTTTGGTTTTCTGATTTGTTTATTTGCTTATTCAATGTAATAAATTGACACATGAGTGGGGAGAAAAAAAGGTATTTATAAATGTATTTATATTTTCCCAAGTTGTTTAAAGAAAAAACGGGGCAAAAGCAACAAACTCTCCTCAAAATATGTAGGTTTATTAACAAAATCCTTGCAAATAAAAAAATATTTTGTGTGAGTATTTCAGTACTTCTGTGCACCTTTAAATGTGTGTGTCTGTGTGTAGTGTGTGTGTAGTGTTGTGTTGTGTTATTTATCTGTTCTTATTTTGTCCTTAAAGGTTAGCGATGCCACCAAATTGCGACCAAAGGCAGAGTTCTGCTTCGGTAAGCAAGCGATTCTTTCTCCATGTCAGACAGAGGAAGCACTATGTGGAAAATAGAGGCGATTAGAGAGCGTGTTAGACCATGAACCTTAACCCTGAGCTATTGTTTTCGAAGATCAGAACCAGAGAGAATCACACACTAGGGGTTCTGGGACTGTACCGGGTGGAGAAGCCACTGTCAAGAGTGTGTGTGAAACAGCATTTATGTGTGATCAACATAATACAGAAACACAACCTGGTCACAAAATGAGGTTCTGTTGAGGTGTTTAATGGAGGAAGTGTTTCTTTTATCTTTGGCGTTTTACTACTTCTGCTTTTTTATTGGGTTTATCTGTAATCATTTTTTATGTTTGTCTTTGATGCTGTGCTTGCATCATGTATTTTTTGTGTTCTATAACGCAATGCTAAAGCTAAAAGGAGTTAACCTTTGAAAATCTGTATCTTGAGATCCTGCATTTATTAAAGGGGCTGAAATCAGAAGACTTATCTGGTTTATATCAGTCCTGTCAGAGCAGAGCCCAGCTTTACGAATCAAATGTCATTTATAATGGCTCACTTCCACAATTTAGACTGGTTTCATGAAGATCAGTGCCTTTTCAGTTCTGATTTTTAAGCATCATTTGCAATTTAATATTTATTTAGAATTAAGTTTTCCTAATTTTTATGTCTTTGTAGTTTTTATACATTTCTTTTCAAGCAGCTTTTAGCCTAAAGACACCATTAAATATAATGGAAATTATGTTACTATTGCAAATAGGCTATAGTGGTAAAATAAATTCTGGTGTGCACCAAAAAGTTAGTAAAACGTGATAACTGCCCTTTAAAATCTAAGCCTTAAAAAAGGTAACCCTCCTTACTTCGCTTCCAAATGATGCACCAAAGGAATCCAAATGAGCCAAAAACATGATCTGTTTTAATGTGATGCTGCAAATACCATGGTTAACGACACAGTAAAAGCTGTGTATTCAAAACAAAAGCAGCAGAGGCCAAACGTGGAACAAAGATGAACCATTAAAGGGATAGTACAGCAAATTGTTAAAACAAATTGTCATTAATTCATGTCATTCCAAAGCTGTAAGAATGTTTTTCATTTGCCAACACAAATTAAGAATTATTTGTTGATGAAATGCAAGTGCTCTATGAGCCTCCGCTGTCTAGTGCACACAGTAGGTTCTGCATAGCCTTCACATACAGTTGAATTCAGAATTATTAGCCCCCCTTTTAATTTCTTTTTCTTTTTTAAATATTTTCCAAATTATGTTTAACAGAGCAAGGACATTTTTACAGTATGTCTGATAATGTTTTTTCTTCTGGAGAAAGTCTTATTTGTTTTATTTTGGTTAGAATAAAAGCAGTTTTAAATTTTTTAAACATCATTTTAAGGACAAAATTATAAGCCCCTTTAAGCAATTCTTTTGTTATTAATTCTTAAGTTATTATAGTTTCTTAAGTTATCTTAAGTTATTATAATTCTGAAGTTATTATAGTTTCACAATGACTTGCCTAGTTACCCTAACCTGCCTAGATAAACGAATTAACCTAGTTAAGCCTTTAAATGTCACTTTAAGCTGTATAAAAGTGTCTAGAAAAATATCTAGTAAAATATGATATACTGTCATCATGGCAAAGATAAAATAAATCGGTTATTAGAAAGGAGTTATTAAAACTTTTATGTTTATAAATGTGTAGAAAAAAAATCTTCTCTTCGTTAAACAGAAATTAAGGAAAAAAATAAACAGGGGGTCCAATAATTCAGGGGGGGGGGGCTTATAATTCTGACTACAACAGTAGTTGCTTTAGGCCAATGAAAAACATAAAGGCAGCATGCCTCAAGCAGCATGACACATCTATTACAACCCCGCCTACTGCAACGGAAGAGTGTCCGAAGGTTTGAAAACAGTACACTATCACTTAGCCTTTTTAAACTTATCTTTGCCTTAAAACGAAGATCAAAATTGAACTGCTTTGAAGTATACAAGGACTTTTAATACTTTGATATTGAGTGCACATGGGTGGTAGGTCTGGCATAGTCTTCTAAAGTCACATACTTTTCGCTGATGTGCACCCTGATGCTCACCTCTAAAAAATGTAGCAACACCTAGCGATGATGCCGAGCTCAAGATCTGTGATTGGTCAAATTGGTGATGAGTGTGGGTAGGGCCTAGAAAATAAAAACTATAAAGACAAGAAAATTAGAAAACTTGTTTTTTTTCTTGAAAATTTTTGGTGTAATGCTACGAATCACGAGTTGAAGACAGTAAAAGATCTGTATATAAAACATAATGAGTAAGGGACAATAATTAAACAGACGATTTTATACAGTGAAAGTCAGAATTATTAGCCCCCCTTTAAATTTTTCTTTTTAAAATATTTCCCAAATGATGTTTAACAGAGCAATGAAATTTTCACAGTATGTCTGATAATATGTTTTCCTCTGAAGAAAGTCTCAAGTCTTATTTCTTTTATTTCAGCTAGAAAAAAGCAGTTTTAAATTTTTTTAAAACAATTTTATATATTTTTTTAAATATGTAAAAAAATATATTTTTTATATGTATATATATAAATATATATTTAAATTCAAGCACGCAGCGTTTAATTTAATGTTTGGTAAGTTCCTTCAATAAAATACACTAAAAGTAGATGAACCAAGTTGTGAACATTGTTAACAGCAAACAAGAACATGAGTGATTGTTTTTTTCCTGTTTCAGAAACAAAAGTACTGGATTTTAATGTGAACAGCTTTAGACAGAAAAAGACTGACTAACACTTAATACCACCAAATCTATGATACCACATTCATGTCTATATTTGTGTGCTGCCCTACAGTGATCAACGCTGGAATGAGGAAGTTTTACTTGCAGGCCAATGATAAGCAAGATTTAGTGGAGTGGGTCAGTGAGCTGAACAAAGCCACCAAAATCACAGTAAGTCCCTGATCCTGGATCTTTTTTTTTCTGACCTAATCAAATTGCAGATTTGAAAAGCTGTACAGTATGCATCAGCACTCAAAGCAGGCTTAACAATTACTTTCGTTAGAGGCTAAATAAAAAATCCAATTTTGTCATACAGATAGGCACAAAACATTAATTTCTGTAAAACCTACTCTCAAGAAGTTTGGCCAGAGGGTAAATGGTCGTGCCCAACTGAGCCTGGCTTCTCTTAAGGTTTTTTATTTTACTTTCGTCAATCGGTAAAGTTTGTTCCTCGCCACTGTCATCACTCGCTTAGATGGTTTGGGACTTGTGGAGCTGCGCATCGATGGATTTGCTCTTCAGTGTTTGGACTTTCAGCAGTGAAAAGTAAACCACACTGAACTGAGCTAAACTAAACTGAACTTCAACTCTGAAAACTAGACTGATAGAGTTTCAATTTACCAGAACTTCCATGTTAAGCTGTTTTGACACAATCTACATTGTGAAAGCGCTATAGAAATAAACAGGAATTGAATTGAATTCAATACTCTCCCAAACAAAACACTGTGGCTTTGTAAACGAACGCAACACTATATCGTTCTATTATTTTGTTCTTTATTTTTACAGAGATCGGCAACATATGCTTGATACCTCTTTGTTGATAATGCTGACATAGAAAAAAATCCATGGCCAGGTATGAACACTGAACAGCCTCTTTGTGTAACAGTTAAGACTGACCTGTTGTTTTGGGTTAGAGACAACAGGTGTTGTGATAGTTTATTGATTAGTGTTTTTACACCTGAAGGGCTGAACACTGAACTGCCATGTCTTTAGGAGCTGCCAGAGCCGCATTCTTTTTTAGCACGCCATTAATCGCTGTAAGAATGGGATTTAACCACAGCAGTTCGAAATATAGTTCTGCCAAATGGCTAAAAGTTATCTGTATGATTGTCATGATCACCAGCGATCGTGACTCCCTAGAACGCTGGATTGCATGCACAATCAATTATGGACTACAAATCCACAATTGTTGGACTACATTCATACATGCACTCAGCTCACACACACGTTTCCTCATTCTCACTGATTACACACACACCCCGGAGGATTGTCAAGGACTAATTACTCACACTATTTAAGCAGCACACACACTCCCTTTGTCGAGTCTGTGACATTACAACGCGTTTTCCTTGTCTTGTTTTACCGTGATTTGACCGTCGCCTAGTTTATCCTTTTATCCCTGCCTGCTGCCTGCCTTCTGACCTCTCGCCTGTTGTTGTACTACGATTCTGGACTACCTTTTTACATTTTTTTGCACCCGTGTTGACCATTGCTTGCCTGACTTCCGTATTAAACCTGCATCTGGATCCGAACCCAGGTGTCAGTGTCACTCCCCATGTAACAACGATGATGAAAAACTACATTTCTAGTGGAACCATCCTTCTGCAGTCTTATACAGAAAATAGAAATAAGGGCAGTATTAATAGCTTTAAATGTGGGAGAGCATTTCTATTATGAGATTGTATTGTATTTCAATATAGAGCAATTAAATATTGATGTTAAATCAAAAGTAAATCACAAATACTTGAAAATAAAATTATTTAATTACAATAACTATGTGGTTACAGTTTAATTAGTTTCAAAATAACTGTATAAAATGATAAAACATGAAATAATAAAAAAAACATGATACTAATTGTACCCAGCTTAAATGTAAAATACAGTTACCTGAGGGAGAGGAAGAGACGGGGAGGGAGAGAGAGACGAAGAGAGTAGCCCTTAAAGAGAGCCTGATAGCAGTAGAGTCAGACAAGATAGAGTCCAGAGCTGGAGAGGAGCAGAGCAGACAAAGCACAGGGCAGAAAAAGAGACCAGAGCAAAGCTTACCAACTATTTTGTCTCTTTCTTCACCATGGCTGTCTCTCAATTCCATGAACGCAGAGAACGGACTTGCGTTCTTGTGGAGACCGGTCTTGCCAGGTGTCCTCGGAAGAACGAACTCAGGAGACCGCGAGGACAGAGGACGCGTCCTGTGAGAAATGAGATGCTGCGTTCTTCCTGATGGTTACATGGCCTTCACGTGTTTTTAATGGAAAATTATTTAAACATTACAGCATCCATACAACGATTTACTGTTTTTCCCCTTTTTAAAATATTTATTGTGCATAAAAACATTATAAGTATACATTGCACAATATAAATAAAACAGATTTTAATACGAATTTCAGCAAACAGACACCCTTAATGTGTTTATTCCTTTATTAAGATGTCCATGGTAGTGTTTACCTTCACTGTTTCATTTAAGGAAACTCCTGAGGTAAATAAGTTATATCTCTGAACTTTAATAATAAATCTAAATAAAATGCTGCGCTTCCCACCTCCAGTCGCAATGACTTCTGGGACCTCTAGAGCAAGTTTGGTGCTCAAGTATACACCGGTGCGTCCTCAATATCAAGAACACATCCGTGAAGTTTCACGCGTCCTCCGTTCTTGCGGTCTTGAGTATTGGAACTATGTGTTAACATTGTAAAACCCCTAAAGTTCACATATTAACCAGGCCCTGATCTTATCATTATCTGCCTTTGGAATCTGTATGGACCTTCTTAGTAGAAATGCATATGATAATTTTCCTCCCTAGAGCTGTATTTGCTGAACCATAAAAACTATTTATTATTTCCTCTTTCAGTGAGGATAAAAACAGTTTAAACAGGAACAAAAAATGATATATATATATATTTTTTTGAGTTTAAGGGTTGCTCGCTCTTGTTTAACACTTTGTAACTCCCATTCCAATCTCCACCCACCCACAAAAAAGAAGCAAAGCAAGTAAAAACAATAATGAACCACAGAATCTGTTTTTTATCTTTGCGACATCAGACTAGTAATAACATCAGTACGTGTTACTGTGTGTATTTTCTGGGTGATTAAAAATGAACTGATCAGAAGTTTAGGAAAAACAGTGCTCAGAATAATTGAGTGCACCCCTTTAAAAATGAATATTTTTACTAATTTGTCAGTGAATACACTTTGCATCCAGAGTATTCATAGCGCTTCACTTTTTCCCCATTTTTTATGTTACAGCCTCATTCCCGATTAGATTAAATTCATTTATTCTCTCAACATTCTACACACAATACTCCATAATGACAATGTGAAAAAGATTAAGAGGCCTGAAAAAAGAGGCCTGAAAAATCACATGTACATCAGTATTCACATCCTTTGCTTAGTATTTTGTTGATGCACCTTTGGCAGCAATTACAGCCTCAAGTCATTTTAAATGGTAACACTTTACAATAAGGTTCATTAGTTAATGTTAAGTAATGCATTTACTAACATGAACAAACAATGAACAAGACATTTACTACAGTATTTTTACATGTTAATAAACGTTAGTTAATGAAAATACAGTAGTTCATTGTTAGTTCATGTTAACTCATGGTGCATTAACTAATGTTAACAAGCATAGACTTGAATGTTAATAATGCATTAGTAAATGTTCAATTATGATTAATAAATGCTGTACATGTGTTGTTCATGATTAGTTCATGTTAGTAAATGCATTAACTAATGAACCTTATTGTAAAGTGTTACCCTTTAAATGGATTGCCACAAGCTTGGCACACCTGTCTTTGTGAATTTTTGCCCATTCCTCTTTGCAGTACCTCTCAGGCTCTATCAGGTTGGATGGGAAGCCACAGTGTACAGATTTTAGTTCTCTCCAGAGATGTTCAATAGGATTTAGGTCTGGGCTCTGGCTGAACCCCTAAAGGACATTCACCGGGTTGTTGTGAAGCCGCTCCATTGATATTTTGGCGGTGTGCTTTGGGTCATTGTCCTGCTGAAAGATGAACCCCAGTCTGAGGTCAAGAGCACTCTGAAGCAGGTTTTCATTCAGGATGTGTACATTGCTTCATTCATCTTTCCCTCTATCCTGACTAGTCTTCCAGTTCCTGCTGCTGAAAAAAAACTGTCAAAGCTGGTGTTTTCTGGGAAGTTTTTGTACCCCTTGGTTTGGAGTATGGTCCTGAAAAATCTTTGTTTCAAAAGGTTATCTAGCCAGTCCCCTTAGCCCTACACCTTCAAGCTAAAGAGAAATGAGACACCCTAATCCCTTCATGTTGTTGCGCAAAACAGGGTAAGGGAAGGGCTAAGGGGTATCAGAATTAAGATTGGGGAGTGTACATGAGTGTAAAAATGCAGCAGGTTGTGGCTAGATTATGAATATATGTTTATATACCAGTAAAATATTAGTTTCAGTTTTGGCTTTGGTACTAACTAATGTAATGCATATGCACAAAAATAATAATGTAAAGCATCCTGTAGAAAATATTAATCTTAAAGAAAGATCTGTGAGGGGTGTACCTGAACACTTACGCTCACAAATGCTGCATGTTTTTGTTAAAAATATGTGCTCAAACTGGAATGGTTTCTGAAATTGAGAGTCCTGGGGTAAGCTTTGTAAATGCTTGCTCTTAAATGGGTATTTAAAGGAAGCAGCTGTCGCAGCGCCTTGTTTATTTATACCTGTTCGTCTTTTTCTTCCAGGTGCCAAAGTCAGGCGAGCAGGTGGCTCCAAATACAGCAGAAGCCTGTGTGGACACGTCCTCCAGTGCCACCAAACAAGTGTCCTACAAGACGGAGATCGTCGCAGGAGTGCCCATTATCACAACCACACAGGTCACACAGCAGTCTCAGACCCCAAGACAGTTAAATTAAAGACAATTAAAGTCACCTATAAATGAAAATTATATCGTTATTTTCTACTCGCACTCATTTAGTTTTTCAAAATCTTTATTTTTGAGCGAACTATTTCTGCTAGCACTTTAAAATAATAGTCTATTAGTTAATATATTTACTAACATGAACAAACTATTAGTAATGCATTTATTATGGTATTAGTTAGTCTTTGTTAACCTTAGTGAATGTTATTTAATTTAAATAAGGTTGGTTGATGTTAACTCACTGTGCATTAACTAACAACTTTGGATTTTAATAATGCATTAGTTAATGTTAAACTATGATTAATTAATGCCTAATAAGATTATTCACACTTAATTTTAGTAAGCGCATTAACTAATGGACCATTATTCTAAAGTGTTTCCCTATTTCTTTAACATATAGCTATTGATACTTTATCTTAATATCTACAGTATCTTAATTACTACATTTATTTACCATGTGTTTGTGTAGTATCATTACTGATGTAAAAAAAAAAACATAAGAAACACTTTACACGTAGATAATGTTAATGTATTTACTAACACAAACAAACCATGAACAATTGTACACTATTTATTTATTATAGTTCAACGTTTACTAATGCATTATTTTAAAAAAATTCTGTGCTTGGTAACATAGTGAGTTAAAAATAACAAATTTATTTATTTAATCTAAAATTGTGAAATGTTATTGCACTATAAAATAACTGTTCAAAAGTAGTTTATCATTTACCTTAATCATTTATTCGAGTCATTTTAAAGATGAATTTTCAGCTTCATTACTTCAGTATTCAGAGTGACATGATCCTTCAGAAATCACTCTAATATTAATTATTTTTGTTATTATTATCATTATTATTATTATTATTAATGGTAATAGTTATAAAAGCAATAATGACTGGAGTAGTAAATTAGTTTAAAACTTCATACAATAAGTAATAAATAAATATTGAATTAATTAGTGTTTAAAAATATATATATATTTTTTTTACATTTAATAAATATCATCTGAGGAGCAGAATAATTTTATTTAAATTATTAAATTATACTATTAACTATATTTTTTCCCGATAATCTACAGAACAAACCATTGTTATAAAATAACTTACCTAATTACCCTAACCTGCCTAACTGAGTCCCTGTATTGTAAAGTGTTAACAAAGTATGCATATTCTACATTTGTACTGTGTCGTTGGTTTTCAGGAAAAGGGTGAAGGTCAGAATGGTGCAGACAAGAGTGGACTAAGGAAACCTCCTGGTCAACTGCCATATTACCTGAGCCGCAGTAACCAAGACCAGTCGGTCATTAAAACTGGATATTGTGTCAAACAGGGAGCTGTGGTAAGTAACATAAAAAAAAACATAAAGTATATATTAAAAATGTAGATAAATTAAAGATAAAATAAATTTAAAAATCCTGGTTTGCTGTATCATATCTGATTCATCAGGTTTTTAATTTTTATGAAATAGGCAATCCCGACTAAAACAAACACCGCAGTTTTAGTTTCTTAATAATAGACCCTTTTCACAAGACTGTTATGATGCATTAAACGATCATCAGCATCTTATTCCTTGAAAGCTTGTAAAACACATGAACGAAAAAACATGTGGACATTGCTATGTATTAATTTATGTAAAGTCTCAGATTTTTGTTCATTTTCAGAATACAAGTGAAAATATTTGAGAGCTCCCTCGTCCTCCATAGACAGCAAGATTCCAGACTCATTCAAAGTCCAAATCACATTATCAAAACAGACCAAATGCCTTCAGTGGTTCAATCAGAATATTATCAAGGTACAACAATAACGACTTTGAGAAAAATAAACTTTTAAATAGTGTCAGTATAATGTGCATGTTTACGAGCACTGTGCATGACTTTCTCTTGAAACTAAGCAAAGTTTCACATGAGGTACACATCAGAGGCCTGACACTGAGCAGAAGAAACTGTAGAAAAAAGTATTCTCATAGCTTTATAATATTCTAATTATCAAACCTAAACCCTATTTTCACCCGTCTCAAAAAATTTTTTTTGATGTTATATATGCATAAAAAACTGTCAAACAGTTAAGAAAAAGTGCTTTTTTGTAAATTTGGACCACAATCCACATATATGGACATCGTTTTTCTCTAAAAGTACATCATATCAACAGATGATACTTCAATAAGCACAAATAGCTGAAAGAAATAAAACATGCATGTAAAAAACACCTTTAGTACAATATATTTTATAATAATACAATTATTATTATACCTTTAGTATAATATTATATTGCAAATACTGTATTGACAGTGACAGCTTTTCGTAATGCCATTACTGTACATCCAACTTTTCTTTTACCTCTTTTTCTGTTTTGCCTAATGTCTATCCATATTAAATATTGCTATTATTTTTGATGAATTAGTGAATCATGTGCTATATCTATAGATGAATTACCATGTTTGTAAACATTCAGGATGCACGTGCAAGGAGGTGGCAGAAAAAAAGCATGAGCTAGCATTTAGAGCGAGGGAATGACATCTGATGCGGTAGAGTTTGTTGTTGTCTTAGAAATAAATTATATTGATTTTATATATATATATTATTTACATAATGCTTTCAGTGTATTATAACAGCCAGTGATAAGCACAGTGATTCGGCAAAATGAGCAGCGTTCATCTAACAGGTCCATTTGCGATAGCAACCTCCCAATGAATTTTGGATAAGACGAAATGGCCAAGCATCCAGCCCGAAATATACAATCTCATTGAAGATCCAAGTGATTTTACAAGAGGTTGGTTTTATTTTCGCTTATTCAGACTTTCTTCTTAATAATATAATTTCATAAAAGTATTAATTGCGAACTCTAAATAGTTAAATTATATTAGCAGCCAATGACTATCAAAGTACAACATTGTTCAAAGTCAAATAAACAGTGTTAATGTTGTTTTCAAGACACACTTGCAGGTTATTTCAGACTGAATATTCATAGTGCCGTGGTAAACAATATACTGTAGGGAGTGTGTTTCAAGTTGTCACTGAATGAATGTGTGAATATAAAACAAACTTTACCACAATAACCTAAACTTTCACGTTTCATTCTTAGCATTCAGTGTCCGCAGGTTAATTAACCATATGTAACTTTTTTTGCTAAAATCATTGCTGCAATCAAAAACGAGTAATGTGTATGATTCAGCATAGCGTGAACTTACCTGAAATAACATGAGGACTGCAGAGTCCAGCATTTCTAATTAGGTCGTCACTTCATTCAGCTCCCTTTTAGCCAAAGATGTCTGCAGTTGCCATAAAAAAACAGTGTCGTGTATGGTAAAAGTAAAGTTTTCTATTTTTCAACTTTCGAATTTGGCTTTCTACCGAACACAACACTACATGTTTGCGATTGCAGCCGGTCTTTTTTTGCAACCGGGAACCCGCGTGACATCATGTGTGACGTAGGTTGGTAATTCGTCTTTACATTTTCAAAGATGTAGAATTCATTTTAAGGGTTAAATGCACATTCACAGTATTGCCAATAGCTTACCAATGTATGAAGCACAGCTAACACAGGAGTTCCAAATCCGGCAGCTTGCTGTTGGTCACCGTGTGGGATTTGTGTGGTCGACCTGAATACAGTAGAAATCTGTGTGGGGAACTGTCCCTTTTATGTGAAACTCTACTTCCACATTTACATTGAAATGACTGCATTTAGTTTGTAAAATTTCAAATATGACTCCCTTTATCTTAAAGGTCCTGTGAAATTAAAATATTTTTAGATGTTTGTGTCAGTATGCAAGTATTAAGGATATCTACAAGCTTGTGTGTTCCAAAACAGTGCCAAAATTAACCTTTAGAAGATCGACTTGACTTTGATCGACTTTCTCTATTGTCCACAACTGGATTTTTATCTTTGGCTTCACCACATAGCAACATCAGCCTTGACATCACAAAAACACAAGCAACACAAATACATTCAATATTAGTGCATAAATCACATTTAAAACTCAACTAACCCACGTTAACCCATGTAGCACGTTCGTCTCACAACAAGAAGGTTGCTGATTCGAGCCTCAGCTGGGTCAGTTGGCATTTCTGTGAGGAGTTTGCATGTTCTCCCTGTGTTCGCGTAGGTTTCCTCCGGGTGCTCCAGTTTCCCCTAGTCCAAAGACATGTGGTATGGGTGAATTGGTTAGTCTAAATTGTCCGATGTGTGTGTGCGAATGAGTTTGTGGATGATTCCCAGTGATAAGTTGCAGCTGGAAGGGCATCCGTTGCGTAAAAATATGTGCTGTATAAGTTGGCAGCTCATTCCTCTGTGGCGACCCCAGATTTATAAAGGGACTAAGCCGAAAGGAAAATGAATGAATGAATGAGTAAAACCCAGTATTTAAAATTCTAATAGCAGTTGGCACGAATGACATTTGATACACATTTTTCTTTGCCAGAGGTTGCCTAAAGGGTTTTGAAGGCAAAAGCTGAAAATTTATATTTAAGGGGTGTGAACAATCTTCAATAATGATATGTGCATTCTGTTTAATTGTTGTTAGATCAATTCACATATGCCAAATGAACCATGGTAACTGGTAAAACAAGACAGGTTCCTAAAACAAGTGTCTGATTCGTTAGTTTGTTGGATCGATTTGCTTTCTGACTACAATCTATTCACTCCAGAGTTGGTTGTCTGGTACTATAGTTCGTTGGATTGTTTAGCTTTCTTACTGCGATTGATCCAATGTCGCTCCAGAGTTCATTTCAATCGGTCCGAGACCACCCCATTTAGGCAATCTCAGACTGATTGATTTGACATGGACCTGAGTGCGAGGATTCACATATGCAAAACGAACCACGGTAACTGGTGAAACAAAACAGGTTCCGAAACAAATATCTGGTTCGTTAGTTCACTGGATCAATTTGCTTTCTCACTACGATTGATTCAATGCTGCTCTAGAGTTTGTTTCAATCGAACCGAGACCACCTCACTCAGGCGATCTTGGACCGATTGATTTGGCGTGGATCTGAGGGCGATTGCGAGATTCACATATGCCAAATAAACCATGCTAACTGGGTAAATGAGACAAAGCTTCCGAAACAAATGTCTGGGTGTGAAAGCACCTTGACATGTCCCGTCCGCTTCTTGATGCTTTTTTTCGCTTTAAGTAACCTCAACCACTCTTACTAAAAGAGCTGTGATATAAACTAAATGCTATTAGCTGATTTTATAAGGGGGAGGAGCTACAATATGCCCCACCCTGTTTTCTTATTTGAGATTATGTTGAGTTAAGATTCAGTTGAGTTTTAAAAAAATAAGTAAGGTTTATTTATGAACTAATTTTGAGAGGATCCTATGCTTTTGATTGATCACGGCTGGTCCTGCATGAGCTCTGCATATTGCGCCAATCAGATGAATACTGTCACTATAAATAATCAGAGTTTTCCACTTCAGTTATCTTCATCTTGAAGAATCCCTCCTTCCACTTTTACTCCTCCCCTTCTCCTGATAGGGCGGCACAGCAGCCCAGTGGTAAGCACTTTGTCAACTTTGTATTGTAGGATAACACACTTCAAACAAACAAGTACATCAAGGCATATTTTTACACCTGTAAACTTTAACAGATGAAGTTGAAGTCCATTTTTTTGCCCCAATAATTTAAAATAATGTTTCCCAAGTGAATCAAACCAAGGAGTTTTTCATAGTATTTCCTATAAAACACAAATAATTGTTCTGGAGTCATAATAAGTCTTATTTCTTACAGTTTATTTCTTGAATAAAAGCAGTAAAAAAGCCTCCTTTAAGAAATATTTACTATTTGTTTTTTGATAGTCTACACAACAAACCAGTTATACAGTAGCTCGACTAATTATTCCAACTTTTCTAGTTAACATAACCTATTGAAGTCTTTAAATTACACTTTAATCTGAATCAAAGACTATAGAATACTCAACGGGACTTTGTCTGTATACAACTAACTTCTAAATAACTAGTAAAATATTATGCACTGGCTGTCACCATGGGAAAGATTAAAAAGTAGTAATTAGAAATAAGTTAGGTTAACTATTGTGTTTAAAAACGTGTTGTAATAAATCATGTGTTGAAAACTTGTGCTTTATGTCAAGACGGAAACCAAAAATGAATGAAGGCAAAACTTAACAAGTTGAATATTCCTTTTACATGAGCGTGACTGAAAACTAAACTGGGTGAATGTGTTACATCTGTTCTCCGGCACTTGCGACTGTTTGTAAGTTCAAGACTGCATTTCCTAATGTAAAACTGTGTACAGTCAATTTCTAATTAATAATACCCATGTATAGCCGAGTACTTCCTCGAAGTACTTAGGAAATCGCTATTGAAAACAAAAGTGTAATATAAACAACCGTAGACATTTTGATAGTGTTTCACAACTAATGGCTGATCTCGCTTCTCCCTGGCGTTTTGACGCCCCCCATACATTTTTTCGATAAAACGATAATGACCGTTCGATAAGTGTTTGATAGTATTTACGCACTATGCTAATGGCTGCGCAGGCACTTTGCAGCCTGCCCTTCCAAATGCCGCTCACAGTACAAGTGTACAGCCATACAGTGTTAGGTGCACTTGGAGTAAGTCAAAAATAAGGTAAAAAGGTCGAAGTCACAGACATTGTTGACAAGAAACATGACTAATCATCGGTAGTCTGGAGCTACTTCGTTTTTTGCAATACAACACAAAACAGAGCAACGTGCACTGCAAACTGTGCAGACGACTCATGTCATCAAAAGCAGGCAACACCACAAACCTGTTTTGTCGTTTAGAACATTGCCACCCTTATGAACATGCAACTGAATTACAAACCCTAACAAGTGTAGGTAAACCAGCGCAACTACCCATCATTTTCGAAAGCCGTGCTTACGAGAATAAAAACCCCGAAAAGACAGGCGAAAAATATGACAGACACAGTCTCAAACACATCTCAATGAATACTTGATGCTTGCTGTAAACTACAAGCTGCACTATTTAAGGGCATTTGTTACGACATTGATAGGAACTTTTGTTGTCAAGCTTATGTTTCTTTTTTAATATTCAGATATTTTCTTTGGAATTTTTAATACATATTGTCCCTCATCGACAGTAAAAGAACCAGCCTTTATGAAGACATAATCTTTAAAATAATGAAATAATAAAAATGCAGCAAGTATATGACAGACGTTTACATAATCAGTGGATATTTAATTAAATCCTTATTTATGGAGTATCATCCATCTGCAGTTGTTTAAGGCGGGCACGAAATAAAAATATATACACTTTATATATTTTTCTTTGAAAATGTATCTTTTTGCAACGAATTTCGTTATGTATAGTATGTAACTTAAATCGGTCACACTTTACAATATTCATTAGATAATGTTAATTAATCCATTAACTAACATGAACAACAATGAACAATACATTTACTACTGTTTTTGTTCATGTTAGTTAACGTTAGTTAAAGAAAATACAGTAGTTCATTGTTAGTTCATGTTAGTTCATCCATCTGAGGTGAAGCGCTTTAAAACAAGTCCACTATAGTATATGCTTTAGCGCCAAAACAATCATTCATTCATTTTCTTGTCACTTAGTCCCTTTATTAATCCGGGGTTGCCACAGCAGAATGAACAGCCGCCAAAACAATCAATTAAACTATTTTCACGGTTTCATTTTAATTCATTAGCGTAGAGCGGTTTGAGTAGCATCAGCTAGTCTTTACAAGCTTTTTGCAGCACTGATAGATTTCTTAAATTATCTCGGATTAATAAACTTGGTCTGAAGCATCAGAGAGCTCAGAACCTCGTTGAGTGAATGGAGAGGCTCCCCACATGTCTCGCCGTGATGCACGATTTATAAAATGAGAGTCTGCATAGGCCTATTCGTGCCAGTCTTTGAGGTAAAATTTAAACACCCTCGGATATAACCAAGACGTGCGCATATCAGGTTTCTTATGCGTCCCGCAATATGAAATGACAAGAGAATGACTGCGTAAGTAAGGTAACTGTACTCACTTTATGCAATGCGTGGATGTGTCTCACACTGCAAAGCATAACTAAACCTTTAAAGGTCCATCTTTAATTAGTTATCGATAAGGTCTATCGATTTAAGGGTTATTGACAGCCAATCGATCATCAAGTAATCGTTAACATCTCTAAATAAAATAGTCTATATATTGTAGGATATTTCACCCTAAGTTCACCATACTCACCATTAAAAGGACGGTTTACCCAAAACTGAAAATTCTGTTACCGTTAACTCACATTTTGCTTGTTCCAAACCGGTTTTATTTTATTTATTTATTTTGAGGTTGAACAATAATATCCAATAACTTGTAGGTAATGTCTTTGGTTGTTAAAAACTTGAACAGTAAATGATGAAGTAAGATTCTTTTGTTTATTATTTTATTATTTATATTGTCAGAGAGCTAAAACATTTCACAAAATGTGTTTAATCAGCTGCACAAAGCGATTGGCATGCTGAAAATCCTATAAAATTAATAGGTATAAAGATTTGACATGTATCGTGATAATTATCAACATTAACTGATATAAAAAAAAGGTAATGATAATTTTTTACCATATAACCTAGCTCTATTCCTAACACATTCACAAGCAGAGAAACTCTCGAGACCTACCTGAGCTCAAACTCCCCTCTTGCCCTTCAAACAGGAGGGAGCCCCAGGCTCGAGAATATTGTGAGCTCAGGGCTCTCTCCCGGGACAGCATGCCAAAAATGCTTTATTATCAATCATCAGCTAAGTGTGAACTCTTGAAATGCATATTTACCTGTACCTGTAAGCTGCATTGTTGCATCATCAAAACTGACCATTTCATAATCACATAATCACTGCCTACACACTCTAAAATTGTGGCTAGCTTAACAGCTCCGTAGTTTCTCTAACAGCACTATCTTCTGTCATTCTGCAGATGAAGAACTGGAAGAGGAGATACTTCATGCTGGATGACAATGCACTCAGCTACTTCAAAACAGACATGGTCAGTCTCTCCTGAATGTTGATTTCTCCTTATTTCTCCAGAGTCTTGCACACTTCCATTGTCCTTGAACTATTCTCAAACCCATTGACCGTTCTTTGTTTGCATTGTGTTTTGCACCTGTGCATTTGTGAGCCCGTCTCTAAGCTCCCATCTGATTAGTGAAAGTCCGGCCTGTGTATTGTTCATGCCATCTGATCTTTCGGCCAATCGCATTTCACCAAATGGAGCATATTTACATACGAGCTCCTAGAATTAGATCAGTGACTCATGTGGGAGTGAAAGCTTGTGTCCAGTGGAGGTTCTGTGTATGTGCGTGCAGCATGTATGTGTGTAGTTGTTTGAACTTGTTCACGATGTTTTGAATTCCTCTTGCTGAGTGTCAACAGGATTACTTTGTCTGGACAAGTCTGCATTTGTGAATTTAGGATTGCTTCCTCTTAAAGGGGGCCTATTATGTCCCTTTTTGCAAGATGTAAAATGTTCCTAGTATGTGTTTGAGAAGTTTCAGCTCAAAATATCACACAAATAATCTTTTATAAGTCTTTTGAAACTGCCACTTTTAGGCTTTGATCCTAATTGTAAGATTTTTTGTGAATACCGGTTTATATTGAAATGATATTGTGCTTCCTGGGCTATTTTCACAAGAGGGAGGGAGCTACAAATGTCTATTTGTCAGCATAGTGGCAGATTCAAAAACAAGACTAACGTCCTATGCTGATGAGGGACTAACTGGGGGGGGGGGGGATGGGGGGGTTCCCCTTCCTATAAAATAATGTCAATCAAAGTGTTTCTGTGTTTCTGTTTTTTTAAGTGTGATTATATAAAAAAAAAAACACTTCATTTTTACTATTAAAAGCTGGTTACAATCCCAGAATGTTGCCACACAACTGTTTAAATCTCTTATAAAAATGAGGTTTTTACATAATAGGTTTTTAAATTTCATTTAAAATTTTGTCAATGTATATTTATAATTATAAACAAAAACAATGTAGTCATATTAATATATTCACTCACTTCATATTGCTCCTCACAAGCTTCATAGAAAACTATATACGTATATATATATATATATATATATATATATATATATATATATATATATATATATTAGTCTGTATTTTTTTTAAAACTCCCAAACAAAACTTATATTCATTCATTCATTCATTTTTTCTTTGGCTTAGTTGAGCATTTATCAGGGATCGCCACAACGCAATAAACGCCAACTATTTCATCATATGTTTTACGCCGCGGATACCCTTCCAGCCAACCTCCATAAACTCTCACATGCACACATATACACTATGGGCAATTTAGTTAATTCAATTCACCTACAGCACATGTCTTTCGACTGTGGAGGAAACTGGAGCATCCGGTGGAAACCATCGCGGGGAAAATATGCTAACTGACCCAGCCGGGACTCAAACCTTCTTGCTGTGAGGCGACAGTGCTTACCACTGAGCCACTGTGTCACCCTAAAGGCTGATTTATACTTCTGCGTCAAACGCCAGCGTATGCTACAGCGCTGACGCATAGTTCTCCGCCATGGCCGTCGGCACCGCTGACGTGCACCTCTCAAAAAATGTAACTACACGTCGCAACGACGTGTAGCACAAGCTCTGTGATTGGTCGGCTTGGTAGCGCTGACAAGTCAGGGTGGGACCAAGAGCCGCGTTAATGGTGCGAGCCTGATGGAGCGATTGTTTACAAGTGTGGAGTCCCGTAAAGGAGCTCCGGATGGAAATTTTTGTTTTGTGTTTACCTCATAGTTAAAGTTATTGCACTTCTGCCGGTTCCTGCCTTAAAATGAGCGAGTTTGAGCCACTTGTACATCACGGAAGTGTTCAGGAAAAGCAAAACAGCAGCGAAGAAACTCGACACAAAGGACCATTAACACTTGACTGCCAACTAGTGTTTCGGAAGTGTTAATGCAGACCAACAGGGACAGCGTGCAGAAGTATACATGCACAGCTACGCGCGTTGCATGCGCCGTGGGTTACGCCGGTCACTTGACGCAGAAGTATAAACCAGGCTTAATATTATATAGTGCTGCGTTCACACCGATTTCGCCCGAATCGTTCAAGTTCGAAAAACTGAACTTCAGCGACGATCGCGCCACTTTAACCAATCAGGAGCTTGCTCTAGTGGGGGCCGTAATTATGACCTAGCGCCTATTGTTGGTGTCCCTGGGGAAAATCCTCCTGCACACACCGACAACACTTCATCAAACTGGGCTCGGCTCAGTCAGAAGCACCGCTGAAAGCTTTCATCATCCAGGTTAAGTTTCTGGAGGAGTTTATGATCTCACAGAGCTGGATACATCTCTGAATGGATCTAGTGGACTAAGACACAGCTCCAAATGTATCGACGCTGTTTTTCAGCCTTCATAAAGCACATAAACACAGTTATTTTTTCAATAAAATCTACGTTAGCCATTTAGCAATAAAGCTAGAGTCACCGGGCAGACAGAAGCCTTTCCCTTCATGTGAACCCGCGAGTGTTGTGACGTGAATTTGACGCACAAATGAAGCAGATTTTGACTCGTAAATGAAGCGAGTATACTCAGATGTTCACGTGTCTATTTACACACGAAAATCACGATTCATCCACATTTTCCGCATCTGGTGTAAGCACAGCATTAGTCTATACTATTTTTGCAAAACTCCAAAAATATATAATAACTGAATACTAGCCACAGTAAAACACTCACAAATTGTATTAATTGTCATATAAATTATGATTACACCCACTGCACTGAATACGTAACAGTTTTTTAATGTTAAAATAATAGATGAATGCCAATGTGATGTATGCTACATTTTTTTATTTATAAAATACAGTTGAAGACCGAATTATTAGCCTCCCTTTGATTTTTTGATTATTTATTTATTTTTAAAATATTTTCCAAATGATGTTTAACAGACCAAGGAAATTTTCACAGTATGTCTAATATTATTTTTTTCTTCTGAAGAAAGTCTTATTTGTTTTATTTCGGCTAGAATAAAAGCAGTTTTTAGTTTTTAAAAAGCCATTTTAAGGTCAAAATTATTAGTCTCTTTAAGCTATATTGTTTGAGTCTACAGAACAAACCATCGTTATACAATAACTTGCCTAATTACCCTAACCTACCTAGTTAACCTTATTAACCTCGTTAAACCTTTAAATGTCACTCTAAGCTCTATAGATGTGTCTTGTAAAATATTATTTACTGTCATCATGGCAAAGATAAAATAAGTAATTTATTAGAAATGAGTTATTTAAACTATTATGTTTAGAAATGTGTGGAAAAAAATTCCATTAAACAGAAATTGGGGAAAAAATAAACAGGGCCAATAATTCAGGGGGGCTCATAATTCTGACTTCGACTGCATATAAAATATTTATTATTTTATTTTGCTAGCTCACATCAGTTTGATGGGTTTAGCCATATTCTTAACCACACTCCTCTTAGCATTAGTTATGCTACAGGGGAATTATGCGCAAAGAGAAAGCCCTGCCCCCTACTCAATATTTGTTTTCAGATGGAAGTACATCAACATGCTGAAATAAAAGTCTCAGCAACTTCCAGTTCACACAGACTTTAAAACAAATAAATCCTTGGTTTATGTAACCGACAAAGCAGTGGCACATAGTAAAAAACGTTTTCTCTTACTTTTGACAGGTGAGATTTAATAAAAGCTTTTTTGTACCAACGTGAAAGTTTTGAGTTACCTCAAAAGACCTGTCTAAACTTGATTTCTCAATTTAATTCCTCTTTATTGTTTGGATCAAACATCTTTCTTCACAGGTATATATTTTCCAACATGGTAAACTTGATCAGTAGCTCACCTGGTACAGCCTGTGAAGTTTTTATGACAATTCAGTCTGTTGGTCTCATCCCCTATCTCGGTCTTTCCAACTTTACTTCCTCTCTACAGACGGTAATATCCAAATGAACGCAAAAACAAAAAACATAAATCTAAAAAAACAACATGACCATACCTTAGGCTGTTTTGTCTGCAGAACATGATTGTAGAAAGATGTAAGGTTAGTAATGGGATGTAATGTTTTTTGAGTTTCAACAGAACACTGAGTATTGATTGCACTTATTTGTTAATTACAAATAATATGCAGGTATTTTAATATGCAAATATTTAAGGCTGATTACGTCATGCTCAGTGCTTCATGGGAGCTTTGCTTACTGTGGCTCAGTAATCTGTAGAATTGTCTGTACAATGTCATGATTTCTTTTTTTTTTTTTCCTTTTCCCTGTCTTTAAACTGAAATATGTCAACATAAACAAAGGAGGCTGAGAAAAAATGTTCTGTATAAAGCATTATAAAGAAAACCAATACATTTTCTGAGGCACTTAAGGATGAGGAAAATAAAGCGTAAGTTTCATTTTTGGGTGAACTATCCCTTTAAAAACATCCAGAAATAGAGCATTTTTACTGAACAGTTGTACTTGGAAATTTGTAAAAGGAAATTATGTAGGAAATCAACTCAGGGTTAGGAAGTTTACGCCCCCAAATGTGAAGTACATGACACTGGATTAGCAATTTTAAGGATGAGAAGATTCTATTATCACTAATGTCATTTTAGCACGGATGGGTGGGCAGTTGTTTGGCTTGTGACGCACATTTTCTCTCAAATAAAGTGATTGGCACATCTTCTTGTCTGAAGAAGGAACCATTTTTGGCTGTAGTAGTTTAAAATCATTATAAACTGTGGGGGCAGAACAATGGTAATTCGTTCCAACGTTCAAACACACAACTTCCTGTTAAAGCTTTTTGACAAACTTTATTCTCCACAGATTTATAGGACGGATATTATTTTTATTCCCATCAAGTTAAGAATAGCACAGACTGATACAAACTGATCTTCTGCATCTGACAGTGAAAGTTCAATGAAATAATGACTAGAAGTTATTCGTTGGATCAACTGTTTTGGATAATTGCATTTATAGTTAATGTTTTTGAAGATTCTTATGCTCACTAAGGTTGTTCGTTTGATGGAAAATACAG